AACTGCAGAAACTGTCAGCTAACCTGCATCTCTGCCTTCAACTCTATCTTTGAGGCACTCCATCGTTTCCGTAAGCATCCTAGCTGCTTGTGCTCTTACCGACCACACATCATTATTCTGGAGGATATCCAGGACAAAGGCCAAAATCTCTTGACGGTATAGGCGAACTGCGGCATCGGTACCTTGATTTCAAAATCCAGACTAGAGGGAGTAAAGCAAAAGGTTAAGTTCACTCACTAGGCACTAGTTCATTCCACAGCTCACACCACTCATCATTGCGCTTCTTTGAAGCTTCATCTCCACGAATGACTGGAATTCGGCAAAGGAAAGTAAAGAGAAGAGGAGAAAAGCTCTACGAGACTATTATTCCTACCAGGCTGACATTTCTCCAGGAAAATGCAGGGCACGATGAGCTTGGAGTAGCCTTGAAGCAGTTCCGGACAATTTGCCGACAAGCTCTTGAGAACGTACCTCGCAGATTGCTTCATATTCTCTAAAATTCGGCAAATAGTGATCCCGTCTGACTTTTCTCTGTGAATATTTCTTCTAAACAAAGAAAAATTTAGAAAACACGACCTACCATCATCTCCTAGCAAATCCTTCGATATAGCTTTCATTAGAGCACCAAAAGAAGATGATGAGGCATATTTTGCCAAGTATGAAACAGCACTGGCAAAATGCTTTCTCACAGAAGGATTTCTATCCCTAGTCCCAGCAATAAGCGCATTGAAAAACTTATCTGCAACTTTACTTCATTTATCATTATTATAAAAATCAGAATAAGAAACTATCGTACCGCACTGAGCAGGGTGGTCCATAAGCAGCTGTGGTGCTCGTAGTGCAAGTACTGTCAGCAACTGAGCACATGCGGTCCTTGTACTAGCACCTGCGCTTGAACGCAGTTGCTCACATAAACGTGGTTGAACACCAGTTAGAACAGAGCTATCAATCTGTAGAAGGTAAATTGACAGATAAATCGATGGATACAAGGATACTGTGCAAACCTGAGGAATGAGGTCATGGATGGCTGTCATGATTGGCGAAGTTCTCGCAATTTGGGCACGCGCGTCATCCAACTGGAAAAATAAGTTCAGTGCGTCCTAGTTTATGGAAAGATGTTAACAAGCTGCGGAATACAGAATTAAGCATAAGCGCTTACCATCTCCAATTCGGCAAGACTCGAACGAGCAGCTACATAGTTAAGAATAGCTGGTTCAGTGTCACTTATAGCGTCGATAAGCGATGGTATCAGTTCAGGCAGATATGGACGCAACTGGGTTCCAGCTTTCTTTGCCAGTTCCAGAAGTAGAGAGATGCTTCAACAATAAATAGCATTCTTGGTGACAAAAAGCTACAGATATAAAACCATTAGAACTCACCTAAACTGCTTGTTGATCTTTGTATCTGAGTGGATACCATTACGGATAAGTACTGGAAGAAAGGAGTCCAGGAACGCGTGTGGGTCATGACCCTTGGTTGTTTCGGCTGAAAGTCTCACAGCTAGTTTCCCAAGGCTTGCAACGGCACGATTAGCAGCCATACGAACAGATTCCTACAACAATTAAGCCAAGTGGATTTTACTAACCTTTAAAGCTACAATTGCCCCAGCTATCGAAAGCTATATTACCTTTATGTCATCGCGAAGACGGAATACCATCAAAACTAGCTCAGCAGCAATGGATCGAATGTACGGAGTATCATTGCTCTGAACCAAATCAGAAAGTGCAAGACATCTGAAACAACACATTTAACATTTACCATAAGCATAAAACATAAAATACAAATATAATAACAGAAGAAATGGAGCCACTCACGAAGACTCCCTCACACGCCATTCTGGACTAGTGAGTTGTTGTTGCAGTTCTTTTGCAATATCATCCGCAAACTCATCAACCTGCAACGATATCTCGAAATCGTACCACCACAAGAAAAGTGTGAGCAAAACTTTTTGAACGAAACTCACAATTCCTCGCCTAGATGAAGTAAGAACTGACCATATCGAACGCATGGACTGTCTTACTCTCAGATCGGGATCATATCGATACCTTATAAGAAACGTTAATAATAGTTGATTAACAAACATTGATACTGGCAATACCTAAAGAGTTTTGGGACTAGTTGACTGATATATGGATCAAGCTCGCTCCGGGCTTCTTCCAGCAGAGCAGCAAATCCTAGAGCGGCACCCTGTAATAACATAATTAGAGTGAAAAAAGGATCTCAATTGGCGCAAAAAAGCGTGGTTACCTTTTTGGTGTTCCATACAGAATTGTGTCTTGCAAGGTTCATAAATTTATATACAAGATCAGGTTGATTGAGATCTGTAGCTAAAGAGCACAACTCCTTGTAGGTACTTAATTGCTGCCTGAACCTTGATACTGATAATGAAAGTTGAAAAAAAA